TTTTGTTATTTAATAGGGAATTACTCTCATTTCCATAATTTGTACTTGAGCCCGGCCATTTTTAGGCATATACATAGCCTCATGATGAACGCACTTAAGAAATTTAATCAGCCACATGAAAAATCACAGTGACCTCCAGGTATGATCAAATATTAATATGCATGTCTGAATAGAATTAAATATTAGTGAACAAACCTCACCTGATGTGCTTTAATGTGATTGGCTCAGACATACTCTGCCTAGCAACACAGGTATTACAGCACATGTTTGCACTTAAGAAGTTGGTTAAAGCTAACAGTGTGTAGGCTGGGTGTAGAATGAATCAAATGATCAGAGATTCAAAAATCATTTGCTTTGTTTCGCTAAAATGATAATTAAATTAATAATTAAAATGATGCGGCTGTGAAAACAGTTATTTTGCTCATGTCTTCCATGGCTCTGGGGAAGCTTCATTAAATCCCAGAGAAACACCCTAATGATGTCATCAGGGTTATCTGGGCTTGGACAATATGAATGTATAACAGAAACCATGTATTACAAAAGTTTTTTTTTCAGGCTATATAATGTCGCTCTGGGGGAGCTTTGTCGAGTCAAGAAAATAACCCCTAATGATATCATAGTGATGTCATCAAGGCTATCTCAGCATGGGCTTGGAGACTGCAAGTTTATAATAGAACGTTTGCATTACAATTTGGGGGCTTAGGAGTTTGCCTGGCAGAGAGGGTCAAATTAAGAGACACTACTGTGCATTATGGGAAATGTAGGATCCCATACTGGAGTATAAAAATCAAACTGACCAGTGACACAACATGCTCCACGGGTCAGTCTGTAGTGAGAGAGGTGAACTCATACTACACTTAACATTTCATTAGCTGTTTCCCCCCACACCCACAAGCAGCTGAGACATTCCATAAACACTTGGCCTGCCAGCCAGCAGCACAGTGGGCCCTTTGAGTGGGACCAGGGAGGGGAGCTGAGACTGCAAGACCAGAGGGCTGATGCCGAGCACGAGGGAGGATCACTGAGCCGGGGGAGGCCTGCAGGCTTATAAACATGCAAAAGCTTTTTTTTCTCTATTAAGGGTTATCTATGGAAACCCGAATGTTAGTATGTGAATAGAGGAGCTAATGGGACAATCTAGTGTGAACAATCTTGCATAGTTTCTAAACAAGTGTTTTTGTTCTGTTTTCTGATAAGAAGGAACAAAAGGTCTATTCATTCTTTTACTGCAAGAGCAGCTGGCAATGCCTGGCCTGGTGTACTGATGGCCTGCCAGCTTTTGACCACTTTACCCAGTACACTGCACAGAAGAACAAGTGTCTTACTTACACACACAGAGGCAAACTTGGCTGCCCTCAAGAGCTGCCTTGCAGGCCTACACTTACCATAGGAAAGGGAGAGGCTGAATTCTTTAGCTTCCTTGACCAATAAACCTCAGATGTTGATATCCAGGTACAAGGATAGGCCTGTCTGGGCTTCCTTAAGGGACCTCAAATATTCATGAGTCTGCAATTAACCAGGAGTGCGGATCAGCACCGGTTTGACTCCCGCTGAGGCAGCAAGTAGTGCCAACCTCTGGACTAAAGCCAAGACATTCAGACAGACTTCATCACCTTTTAGACAGACACTTTCTATTAATGTCACATCCTTCCCAGGCAGCCCTGTCTACCTACAGAGCCAGTGCCATACCCTGACCTGGGCAGGCTCAGCTAAATGCATCCTAAAAGACAATCTCCTGATTTTTGCAGAGGGATTATGATTAAACTAATGGTGAGATTTATTATGTCCCTTTTGGCCGACCTCTTCCTCTATGCCCTCTCACTGTAATACTTTAACCATGAGACAGTCTACACACTCAGGCCCTTCCTCAGCCACAGCACAAAGCTGTGGCCACGGGCATGTCAGTGTCATGATGATAATTAATTATGGCAAAATAGACCCATCAGAGAGCTGGCCTTCTTAAAAGGCCCACAGCTAATCAGCAGCTCTATTTGCAGCTAGGCTTGACAAATGGCCTAGATAACCAGAAACCAGGAGACAACACGTATTCTTCTATTCATAGAAAAAAGTCCCTTGAGATGTGTCAATTTTAGACTGACCATTTCAAGATTTCACACGGCAATGCAGCTGAGTAGCGGCAGGAAAAGAACGGGTTTGTTTCAGTCAGTTAGTACAGTAGGTGTTTTTCCCAGGCAGTGACATGCTGCAACCATGCCAGACACTGAGACACTCACCCCAACAGCAGCAGGGACCAAGCTGCAGCGTTCACATATTCCATGACAGGGTGCAAAAGTATAAAGTAAATAAATCATACACACCAAATCTTACCGTCCAGAAAGCCTAATTTAGACATGTGTGACGTATGTTGTACTGTACAGTTTAGGAAGCTTTGAATAGTTACACAATACTCAGCTAACTGGATCACAAAGCGTCTTTACATACACTGAGATTAAGTTAGCTTTACTAGGCTGATTTAATAGATTTTAGGGAATGCCGCAGTGCTTTATCATAAATACAGCAAAAAAAAAACTTTCCAACTGCTCCCTGAAAGTCACTCACCACAACAAAGAGCAGTTTATTGCAAAAACTTGCCTCCAACCGGCTCGCTGCCGGAGGCCTAATCCAGCAACGTGCACAGTAATGTTATTTCAACATCAGAAAATAATAAATCCAGACTTCTGGTTATCCACAAAGCAAGGTCCACACGAGGCAGCTGTCCCATTCCGTCAGCAACAAGTCCTCTCTGGACAAAAACTTTTAACGTAAGGTGTCAAACAGGACAGGGTACATTAAAGGGGAGCTCCACAGAAGATCTGGTTACTGATCACAAGACGTACTACTCACCCTGTGAAAACAGGTGGTTAATGAGCGCGAAAGATTATTCTTGACCATAGAAACAGTAGTTTGACAAAAGAATACATTCATATCTCAAGGTCCACTTATTCCCTTTTTCCAGAGCTTTCGACCACATCTCAGTCTTCATCTCCATGACAAATGCGAAATGTCTCGAGATGTCTTGAGTTGAAAGCTTTGGAAAAACCTAGTAAGTGGTCCTTGAGTTAACACTTCTTAATGTATCTTAGGTGGCTCTGGAGGAGCTTTGTCAAATACGAGAAAAATCACCCCGGATGATGTCATCATGATGTCATCTGGGTAACTGGCTTAGTCAAATTTATTAGAATGCAGAATGCCTGCGTTACTAATTGGGGGCATGGAGCTTGAAAGACGTGGAATAAAGGGTTTAGCAAAAAATGATAGTGGTTGCATTATGGGAAATGTAGGCTACTTTGGGACTAAAAATCAGGACATCTCTGCCTGTGCTGCCCTGTCTATACAAGTCCCCCAACTTTATGGAATTGCAATGCAGAATCATTGGAAGGTAGTTTAAATATCATTCAAGTTAAAACAGGTTTTCCTCCAGATTTTTTTTTCAAGCAAGTGACTCATAAATGTATAAATTCTTTGGAGAAATAGAAACGTTCTGCTCCTAGGTATTGCTCCACAAGAAGGAGCTATGAGTGTGACCAAGAAAAATCCTGACAGTAGTACTGACCCAGGTCGAATGGATTTGGACATTTCAGTCATCCGAGTTTACACTGCATGCTGATTATATCACGGACTATCTGCTTGTTTGTCACATGCTTTGTGTCAAAGAGCTTTGGACTGGATCACCTTATATAACAACACACTATTCTGCTCATCTGCTTAATCTGACCCACAGTGGATAACACTTTTTTTTTGGGTAGAGGCAGACAATTTTGCAGCTCCAATCCTAATACTCGCTCTGTATCCCAATCCTTCTTTGGCCTCAGCCAGCAACAATATGTGTCCTCGCATGTCATTCACTTTGACAAACGTTCTCACTGAGGAACACTCACTCCCGCCTCTCCTTCTGTCCTTGGCATTACGAAGTTGCCCAGACCACTCTCGTTATCCCACTTAACATTGTTATATTGTCATGTCAATACTCGTACTCAATGAGTGATTCTCCTATTGTGTTCACACATAAGAACAGGAAACACTGATGGCAGGCGTTTTGATTGGAAGCCGCATGACATACTTTAAGCCCCTCGATTCGCTTTTTTAAGTGAGTTGTCAGGGCTTTTTCCTACCCACCTCCCGTAACAAAGAGGCTCCCTAAATTTATCACGCTAGACAAACCCCTTTAAGTTAATTACTCGGCACCAAGGACAACAACACTGATGTGTGCTGACACGAAAACAGTCAGTGTGGACAGGGCCGAGAGGCTGGGAAGCCCGGGGGTAGTCGCTGTCTCAGCCAGAGCATCTCTGTGAGAGTGCTGCAGCACTCAGCGGGCAAAGAGCAGAAGGGGGAGAAAAAGAGAGGGCAGGCCTGCTTAGAAAGGGTAAAGAAAACACTGCTGAAAGAACTGCAAAACCACTGGGTTACTATTAAGAATCAGTGTATTTAAAGTCCATCTTGTCAATCCCAACCCCCTCGTGGCAGGCTGGTGAAAACCTGTTTAGTCTTTTTTGTGCAAAGGCTAATCAGGCTTGACTGGAATGGGCTGACATTCCTGACGCACTCAATATGGATAAAGGGAGATAAAATAAAATTCTCATTAACGAGAGGAGAAGATGAATTCTGTAGTGGCCTCTTTTTCCCTTTTTTTTGTAGCCCACTTCAATCATAATAGGTCCCCTCAAGCTAACTAACTCAGCTGAAACCCAAGAAATTGCTAAAACAACAAGAAATGTGCATAATCGTAGCTTCATGAAACATTTTTACATGCATTTTGTGTATATGTTCGAAATATTAGGACTTAACTAAAAGGGCCGCAGGTGCGTTTTATTCATCAGTGACTTATTCAGGATCAAGGCCAGGCAGGGCAAGCACAGGCATCTTTCAGACAGTGATTAGAGAGGGCCTTTTATGTGCTTTTTAGTACTTTATGATCTACCCATTAGAATACTTTGCTGTTTTAATCCTGAAAATGAAAGGCTTGAAGAACATCTGTGCAGTGTGCCTTGCAGACCTACCCAGATCTCCTTGAACACTGTTGTCATGAGAGGTCCTGCTGGACGTGGTGGAGTCCCCATCACTGGGCCAGATCTGGCCCGTTTTACGGAGCCCGATGACAGAGGCCTCAGACACCATCACCTGCTGCTTTAGACGTTTCTGAGACAGGGGTGTGGGTGGGCTGCTGCTCTCAAAGGACTGCTGGGAATGCTGGGAAGGTGAGCGACTTTTCTCCCTGTACATCTGATAGGCGGTGGGGCTGGGAGACACGTGGCTGGACTGGCCCGAGGAGAAGTCCTCCTCGCTGGATGTTAAGTTCTCGTTGGAGCTGCAGTCTGGTGTGTACCCTCCTCCTACGTCGTCAAAGCTGCCGGGAGAATAGGAGCGCCTCGGCCAGGTGAGGTGTGCATCCTCCTCTAGGCTGTGGTCCCTAATGTGGATGACTCGAGTGTCCCCGTCAGCCATCATTCCTCCAACATACACACTAGTGTAAGGCTGGCACTCAGCCTTTCCCCCAGTGGAACGGATCACACCGTCTTTCAGTAAGTGTGGGATGACCTCAGCATCATCATATGACCCGTTGTAGCTGCAGTTCCCCTCAGTGGATCTGCCTCTCTGAACAGCATGGCTGATGTCCCCCGTGGCGGCAGACAGGTTCCCTGGGAGCGAGTGCAGGGATCTCTTACGCTCCATCTGCATGGCCTGAGAGCCCAGGGTGCTGATCTTGTCTGACACCTCCCTGTCGTTGACTTTGACCAGCCCTCGCTCGTGATGGTACTCCATGTTCACATAGAAAGGTTTGTCCTGGCCGCCCATCACTGACAACCCTCTGCCATCTCCGGCTGTATGAGAGTTGGCTCTCCTGATGCGCTCAAAGTTGGATCTCAGAGCTGCTACCGAGCCTGTGCCCAGCGGAAAATCAGGAATCTCTGACTCCTGGCGGACGGATGACACCCCACCCACCTCTCCTTCTGGAAGTGGTTTACACCTGGCTGTCTTGCCAGGCGCTCTCTTTTGCTGCTCTTCCACTGGTGCCTCATCAACATGGGACTTCTGGCAGTCTTGCCCAGTGGACAGGTCTCCAGCATTCATCTGGGGTGTCCTTTTAAATCCCCATCGCTGGCCATCATAAGACTTCCTCTCTTTTGCAAGCAGAGTCTGCAGGTAGATCATCCGGAAGCGCTCCTTGTTTACTTCCTTCTCCAAGTGCCTGATAGATGCCTTGCATTTGTCCAGCTCCTGTTCAATGTCCCCCATTGAATTCATCTCCATGCAAGGGGGATCAGACTCAGGGAACTGGGCTCTCCATGCCTCCACAAATCCAACCGGTTCAACCATTGTTATTACTGTGATAGAAACTATTCAATCAACTAACAACACAATCATATACATTCCTAAAGCATGAACTGGACCTAACTCTTTACAACTTAAAACTTGCATAGTGCTATAACAGAGGAAGGAAGGATCCACTCCAGAGGAAGGAAGGATCCACTTTACAGGGAAGATAACCTGTTCAGTTTAATACTCACAAAACACAGGAATAAAATCCTACAGAAGCAAGATCACTGGTCGAGTCTCTTTACTCCTGTTGACATAGTCCAAGAAATGCGAGGTTATCCTAATTCTCGCACTTGATCCCTTCTTGTGCTCGTCTATTCTCTGGAGATCCTCTGTCCTTGGTGTCAGACTGACTCGAAGCTCTTTCGTGTTTTGGCTCTCCGTCAGCGTTACAGTTGCAGCAGAAAGAGGAGGGGCTACATGGATGTGATTTACTCCAAATCCTTTTTTTTTAAAGGGATGATTTGTCAAAATGCAGTTTCTAATCGAAAACGGAGTTTCCAGGTAAAGCTGATTACGACAACTGTCAAATTCACCAGAACATATTTCCCGAGGAAAACCGCTGCCAGCAAAGTTAGAAGACGGTCTGATAAGGGAGATAAACCGACCCTTTAAAGGCAGAAAACGTCCCACGTTGTGGCGAGAAGGGCTTTGTGCAGGAAAGTGTTGTCTTGTGGCCGTTATAGTTTAGGTGGATGAAGAAAAACGAGGTCCCGTCTTTCAAACCCTCTTTCCTTTGTTGGTTGTTCAAATTCAGCCTTGATTTTTACCCCCCTTAAGATAAGAAATCAACTACCCTAATAGCCTATGTCCCCCTGTCCAGCCTTAGGTCTCCAGATATGTGCCTTTCTGACAAAGCACACTTGTCCTTTCAGTGAACGTTATGCTCTGGACACTACCAACCTTCCTACCAAAGTTCATTGTGTTGCAATCAACCTGAAGCCGTTCCTTGTGAAAACATCGCCATCTGACGGTTCAAAAGTTCAGACTGACAGTGGGATAAGTTCATACATCTCCTTTCAACTCGGGTCACTAACTTACATGATTTGTGCGCAGTTCAGATAAATGGCCCTAGACGTGTTAATGCTGCAGTTTATAAGCGAATAGCTGTTTTTACCATTGTTCATTTTTTTTGCATTAAATGCGACGCGATGCTACATAAATGTCACTTCACATTAAAGAGGATGAGCAGTTCGCATCCATCAACCAAGCAGTAAGTACTTTTAGTTTATTTTTAGCGGGTAGGTATTGAACATGCTTTAATCCTTAAGATATTTAAATTCAGGGGAAATACTTTTTAGATGCGGGGAAATAATATGTAAGCTAGCAGTCATTAAAAGTTAGCGTTATAACAAGTTAATTCTAACTACACACAACGGCAGGTCAGGGGTGTTTGTTGTAGTAAGCACTATTTTTTCCATGACCAACGTTATGAGTTTTCAGCAATTTTGTACTCACAGGTGTGTACATGCCTGTCTGAGCCAGAGGTAATTTGCGCACTTATAGCGCAACACAACGGTCTTAAAAATGTCAAAGCTACTTCCTGTTAGCAACCAACTCGCGTTTGATACGGTTTCCATGGGGCTCTTAAACAGCTGCTGCATTTCTCTCCGCTAACTAGCAAATTGAGGAATTAACACGACGAACTAACAACTTTACCGGGCATGTGTCTTTATCATTTGTAAACAGTTGCTAGCCACAGTCACTAGCAAGTCGGGCTGGTTGTTTTTATTAAAGGTTTCTTTGCAGGTTGGATTGGGGAGCTAATGTTAGTTAGCTTAACGTTAGCTGGCTAAACCAAGCAAATAAGACGACTCATTAACTGAACGTTAGAGCAAGCACGTTTCGTTCAAGATGAGTGAGCAGCTGAAATTCATCGTTGAACAACTTAACAAGGACCCGTTCAAGAAAAACTTTAACCTCATCACGTTTGACTCCCTCGAACCGATGCAGCTGCTGCAGATTTTAAACGATGTTCTGGCTGAAATAGACCCAAAGGTGGGACACTATCTCCAAGGACTGTACAGACTTCTGTTACTTGTGTCAGTGCAAAATGTTGTATAATGTCAGCCTGGGTCTGGCATTCATGAGATAATCTGAACTAACGCAATATACGGCCCCTCTTGTCTTTAGCAAGCTATAGATATCCGTGAAGAAATGCCTGAACAAACCATAAAGAGGATGTGTGCTCTGCTGGGGATGCTGAAATACAAACCTCCGGGCAACCCCTCTGATGTGTAAGTAATGACATTCCATGAGAATTGAAACATGTCTATTCCTAGGGATATTCTCATCATGTGCTCCTTCCCTCATGCAGAAGCAACTTTAGACAAGGTTTGGTGATTGGCAGCAAGCCCGTGGTCCACCCTATCCTCCACTGGCTGCTACAGAGGGTCCCTGAACTAAAGAAAAGGGCTTATTTAGCTCGCTTTCTTGTCAAACTGGAGGTGCCTGCAGAGTTTCTGCAGGATGACATTATCAATGACACCTATCACCAGGTTGCCAATATATCATAAACATTTAATTTCCTAGTTTTTTAGCCAGTAATCCAAAAGACAAGAGAGGCTATGCACTAATGTTGTGTGTTCACAGTATGAAGAGCTGGTGGAAGGTTTTAAGACGTATCACAAAGAGTGTGAGCAGCTGAGGACGTCAGGCTTCTCCACATCAGAAATCAGAAGGGTGAAAAACACTCAATGACTCTTTATAATCCCTTTTTGTTAGACGTTATTGATGATAAGCGTTGCTCAGCATAGCCTGTCACTATACCTATGCCTGTCACACATGTCACTACATTATAATTCAACTTATCAAGCTTAGCTGATGTAATTCAGTAAGGTATTGCCCCTTTTCTCCAATAACAGGACATCAGTGCAATGGAGGAAGAGAAAGACCAACTAATCAAACGTGTGGAGAGGCTGAAGAAGAGGGTAAGGCAAACTGTTCCGAGAGGCTGCATCTCTCTTCTAATCCTTGGAAGGCTTTAGGATTCACTGAGGAATGACAACATGACCCCAGACATAAATGATCAGCTTCTATAAAAGACCTGACAGGGATCTGACAGGCTGTGAGGCTGTCTTAGCAAGGCGGTGAAGTAATGAGGTGTTGATTTAATAGGTCTCCCGCCAAAAGGTGAAACCTGACTCTGTTTGAGGTGCTTGGTTATTTCTGCTTACCATGTGATAACCTGCAATCTGAAGTCGTCGTATTAACTTGTTGATCCTCCACTAGGTGGAGTCAGTGTCTAACCATCAACGGATGCTGGAACAGGCCAGACAGCTGCGAGTGGAGAAGGAGAGAGAGGAGTCACTGACTCACCAGAAGCAAGAACAAAAGAACCAAGTAAATGCTTGTTGTTAATTGTGGTTTATCGTCATGTTTGTTCACCTTGGTATAATTTCATAAGACATCATCAACCATCATTAACAGATGCTGTCTGCTGGGCTTTTTGAAAAGAAAAATGAACCTGTAGAATCTCAGGTGTTTTTCCGCTGTTTTTTTCTTCTCAGTTTATAGGCTTACTATTATGCCCTAAGACTTTTCAACACCTCACACTATTTTTGGCCCTTGTTTCTTGTTTGATATTAGGGCTAAAACAATGAGTCAATTCATCGATTAATTGATCAACAGAAAAAGCAGCTATTTTGATATCAATTAATAATTTCAATGACTTTTCAAGCACGAATAGTGAAACATTTTCAAACATTCTCTTGTTTCAGAGGATGATAATTTAAGAGGATGTGTTGCTTTTCTCTGTTTTATAAAATTGTAAACCGAAAATCTTTGGGTTGTGGCCTGTTGGTCAGACAAAACCAGACATTTAAGGACACCACCTTGGTCTGTGAGAAGTTGCAATGGGCATTTTTTTACTATTTTATCACTATTACTTAGTAATCTGCAGACTAATGGATAATTGAGATAATCTTTTGTAAAGTTGCTGCCTTGTTTCATGTAGACATCAACAACAGAAAAGTTTCAAATAATTAATTTTCATCCTTCTGCAAGCTTTGGTTTATAAATGTAAAAATATTCTACAAACATTTTTCAAGAGATTAGAAAGTTGCAGAAGAATCAGATTGGTGTGAACAGTGTGACCAGACGGCTTTCAGCTCAGTCACTTGTCAGAAAATTAATTGGCAACTATTTTGACAATCACTTCATCACTTTGTCATTTTAAGACCAAATTGCTTTTTTCTTAGTCTTCTGTGATAGTAAATTGAATAGCTTTGGGACAAAACAAGTATTTTAAAAATGTAATCTTGTACGCCAGGAAAACGTGATGTGCATTGTTCACTATTTTCCAAACAATTAATGTGCTAATCAAGAATATGATTTGAAGGTTAATCACAAATGAAAATAGTTGAACAAACAAATTATCAGTGGTAATGGCAAAACTCCCACATTACCTGTATTAGTAATCATTTTTGTGTGTTCAGCTGTTCCAGGCAGAGCAGAGACTGCAGAGATCACAGCAGCAGTTGAAGGATTTGCGACAGGCAGCAGCAGATGCCAATCCAGAAAGTGAGTGTCCTGCTGTTGCCTTTGCAGGACACAGCTGGATGGGTAGCTCAAGGACACAGCAGAGCATTAGAGGGTCTCTTAGCTAATAGGCTTTCATCTGTTGAGACCATCTAATTATACTTTGATCTTTGAAGTACCATAATAAGGCTTATCTGATGTTCAAATTGTCCCCTTTTGTTCTCATCTCGTATCGGGCTCTTCAGCCAGAGGAGAGATTTACACGTTTGCAGTTTCTAATATGACCTAAAATTAAGGTGGAGCTGCACAATTGGGGTCTGCATTAGCTCAGTCCATGGGGACTTGGCTCTAGAACCAGAGGGTCCAGCACGGACCCCTAAATGGTGTTTAGGCACTGTACAACAGCCTGATTAGGATGGGTTAAAGGCAGAGAACAACAAATTTTATTAATGAAGTATAATAATAATAAAAAATTAAAGTCACTTATAACAATTACTCCAAAAAAGTACATTGAATGCTAATTGGGGCGCTACTGTTTAGTATAATTAATTGTCTTTTAACAATTACATTTCAAAAGATTTACACAAGTGATGTAGTGGTGTGTCTTTCATATGCTTAGTGAATTTGCATGAGTAAGTGATACTCAGCTTTTCTTAAGTAATCAGAGCTGTAGAGGTTTCAAACGCATTATGCTCAAAGTGCTTAATTTAAAAGTTCTGTCTCTTTCAGGCTTAATGAAAAGGCTTGAAGAGGAGATCAAGATCAACTCCTACATGGTTTCTGAGAAACTCCCCAAAGAGCTGGAGAGTATGAGGCGTACAGTGCAGCACCTGCAGAAAATAGCGTCAGAGCCTGCCATGGGCCAGGCTGATCTCCAGGAGCTGGAGGACAAGGTCTGTTAAGTCTGTGCACCTCCATGCACTGCAAAATTCACCAATGTGTCAGTCTCTTGAGTGTTCTGCACTTGTCCCTTTCACAGATTAAAGAAGTTGATTCTCAGATAAACCAGCTGATTGAGAAGAAGATGATGAGAAATGACCCAATGGATGACAAACTCACCCTTTACAGGCAACAGGTGTTGACTTTATTGAATTTCTTTGATGTCCTTCAAGTTTTTTGTCTATTTTGTCCTGAGTGAGCTGGACTTTTTGGGTGCGGACTGCGATGCTGTGTGACGTAGAAGGTGCCCTGTGGAGTTTACTTCTGAGCAAACAAAAGTTATGTTTACATTCAGTAATACTCCCTAAGCCCATTGTGTTGTCCTTGAACTCCAACAGGTGTGCTCCATGGCATTTCCTTGATCATAAAACATTTGAAAAGCATTGTTTAAATCCATGTGGGGTGGCATGTTGCAGCATATCTTGGGAGTGTTACCGGCACCTGTAGATCAGTGGATTAGTGTGAAACCATTGGCAGGACTTTGTATCGCCTCACCTCATGCGCGTGATAAACATGGGGGATCCACTCGTACAAAAACAGCTCCATCGTGTTACTAGAGGTCAAAACCCCCACAGAGAACCTTTAAATCAGTCCATTAATGTATTGGATGATTTTGCACGGCAGAGATGGCACTGCATAGGTCATCTTTCTTTCCAATCTTCTCATGAGGAGTGGTGCTCATGCTTAAAAATAGCATAAAGTTGTGGTTATATTAGTACTGTTTAGTCCTGAGGAAGACCTTGTGGTTAAAAGTTGTCTGTTTTTATGATAAACCCTACTATGTACCACTTTAATATGTACTACATATCCATTCTTGTTTACACCAAAAAGTGAACCGTTTTTTCCCACAAGGTTGTCCTCTGGCTCCTGTCCACTATTTTTTCATCTCTTTGCTAAAGTGTATATTTCTTGCCCCAATAACATCCCCATTGATCAATTGCACTCCCTCTCCCACGGGTTAACAGTCGCTCAAATGTGTCATGTTTGTATATCCAATGTAACATTACTCTTGCAGGCCTCCATTATCATTCGAAGGAAGGAGTCGAAGGCCGAGGAGCTTCAGGAAGCGAGGGAGGAGCTGGCCGCGGCAGAGAGGGAGCTGAGGCAGAGGGCCAGCCAGGCACAAGCCTCAGATGGGGGAGAGGTCATCCGGGGTGACGAGGTACACTGTTGGAAATGCTTCTTGCTGTCACAAAGTTATGCAATCACTAAACATCAGCCATCTCTGAATGCCCTGGAAGCTGTGTTGATCTTACAAGCTGGACATAGATAATGGCTGGCTTTGTTTCTGATAAGAAAAAAATTCAGTAATGATTCATGATTCTTCTTTGTGTCCGAGGTAACAACACCTACAGAAACTCAAGCTTTATCTAAGCGCGCCCTAGTAGATTTGCAAACCGCAGGAAACACAAGAGGCTATTTTTGTTCTTATCCAAACATAGAGGGACTCGGTGTCTAATGGCACTTATCCCTTTTCCTTACTCTCCCCCACATTCCCATGCAGAACCATAAATAGAACACACCAGAGAATATCCAGAACAAGGAAATGTACGGGACAAACTGCCTGAAAGATGGCCTTTTCCCTAATCTCTAGTGTAATCAGTCTCCTAACTCAAGTCAGCTGGACACATTAAACAGACATGGGGCATAAAACCTGTCTTTATTTATATCCTGTGATGAGGATGTACTCCCCCCTTTCAGACACATGGCATGGTCTACTCGGGCCTATCACGTTTAAAAATACAGTTGACAAGGAGAAAAAAATAATCTTGAGACGCTTAAATCCGAAAGCCTTGAGCACAGTCACTCCTTCTTTTGCCTATGCGCACATTACTCTTACAGTTAAAGAGTCAACAGTTCTGTATTAGCAGAGGGATGCTGAAAGATGGCGGTTGTGCTGTGACCGTATGCACTGTGTGGATGAGAACATTTTATGCATGTTGATATATGCGAGGTGAGAGCCGGACTCTCTGCTGAGGCAAAAAAAAAAAAGTCACAGCATGTCTGAAACTGAAACAGCTTTCTCCCTGCTTCCCCCTTTTGTCCTGTAGGGCTGCTGTCCGTGCGTTTTGTTCCAGGGGTGTTGCTGACCCTGTCCTCTGACCTGCCTGTGTTGGGTTAAACAAAAACTTTCCATCATAAACATTTATGATGCTAAATATAGCATTTTATTTATTATTACCACAATACTTTGAGACATTTAAGATAATTACTTAAAACAAACAAAACCAATACACACAGAATACTTATGGCCTCTACAGTGCAGTTTTTGGTTTCTACAAATTAGTCTGATCTTCTGAGAAATCCTCTGGGTTATTACATAGCTCTGAAAGAGGGTGTTTTTTTTTTGTTGTTTTTTTTGCAGCAGAAACAAACTGCTTTCACTGATTCCGGCAAATGATAGAGGAAGTGAAATGTCAGTGGAAAAATAACTTCTAACATGTTTATTTTTTACAGGAAGGGAAAAGAAAGCAATCATCTGTGCAGTGCAGTGGAGGAGAAGTAGCAAAATCTGTTTTTGTGAGAGGAAGATATATGAGATGTTTAAAAAGAAACCGGCTGGCAATACCACTGGACTAAGACAGACGCTCACATGTATTTCAGCCACTGTAGTTGTTCTACATCAATGATACCAAAATATTACAATTAATTTAAGGGACCCACCTTTAAGTCTGACTGAAATGATGAGAGGGGGCTGTTTGTAGGTACAAAGAGGGCCCTTGAGAGTATACATGAATGAAGTTAATGGAAAATGTTTTGTCAAACACAGCTTATCAGACTCCTCCGTAGTTTTGGGCCATCAGCCACGGTGGAGATGATCACTTTATCGGAGGTATTTTCCATTCTGCTGGTTATGTGTCATCACATACCACCCACCAACTGCAGGGTCTCTCTGAGAGGGATGACTACATCTGCTCGTCATTGGTTGGTCAGTAACATGAAACCACTTTATCAAACACCCTCATCACTGGTTTAATTTTAGTGTTACTGCAGTCAAGACACAATCTGAGTAACATGTCACTTTTTTTTTTAAATACTGTGGTGATCTTCATAGTAACTAAAGAGTTACTCTGCTACTGTACACAGTAGTTTGATTCTTCTGGATTTCATTCTAAGCGCAGCTTATACATTAATACCAGCTTCCTAACCTCTTGATAATGTAACTGTTCTGCACAGTTATTTGGAGGTCTGCTGCACCATTCATGTTTCTATAGACTTGCTGTATGCAGGTTTGTGTGAATGTACTGTATGTCTGAGACAAGAGGTGTTATGACTGAGCTGTCGGCCAGTTTAACAGCAGTTGTTTTGGGGACACACTGTCGGGAACACTATGCAGTGTTACTCTGCTGTGCTAATTCCTCTCTCAGCCATGTCTGCCCTTGATGTCCCAAAATACACAAAGAATAAATGTGTACACCCCCCCCACACACACACGCGCACACGCACAGACGCGCACGCACACACACCCCTCCCCACACACACACACACACACCCCTCCCCACACACATCAAGCTTCATGGATTCCCAAAGGACACAAAGCACATTCTGTGATTTCTGGGGCTATTCTCCTGTGTCCATGTTCATTTATAGCTGCTCTTCATTGTAGAGGAGTTTCATTGTGTCCTGACAGACAGTCAGGGTTGGGAATAACTGAGCATCAGCTAAAAGCAGTTATTCTGCCAGATGAAGCTGTTTGCTGTACATAGCTGGCTGTGAATCTGAAGGGATCGAGTGACTGTTTCAGATCATGGCATGGCCCCCAGTTGCTGCTGTTCTCTAATCCCTTCCCTCCCCTGGCTCAACCCATTGTCTTCTCCTGTGGCCTTTCATAGTATCTCAGCTGTGCTGGATACCAAGTAGTCAAATATAAACTGTATTTATGCCTCTTTCATTGCATTTCCCAAAGAAGCATTTACACTTTCTTGCTTGTTGCAAGCACATGAACACCAATTTTTTTAAAATACATGTCTGTTTTTGCTGTTATAATTGAAATTTTTTATATTAATGTATCAAATAACTACATTTATGTGAAGGGCGTCATTACGTACTGATGAACCAACAGATAACGAAGCTTTTAGCAGCTAAAGAGTCAGATTATCAGGAGTTGGTGGAGAACAAACCAGGACCTATTGGAGAGTCAATATTGGACTGACATATATCAGGTGACCAGCGCAGCTCTGTAAATGTGTAAATAAACAACTGTTCACTATATGAACTCAGAAGGGGATAATATGTCAGCAGTGTTTACAGCCAGATTCTGCTGCCCTCAAAATCAGCTAATGCAGGTTTAAAGACCTTTTCTAAATGCAAGTGTAGCAAAGAAACCACAAAATGTCATGTGAAAGCATCGTTTAGTATTCACTTCTCTTAAATCTAAAATCAAGTGTACTTTTAATTTGAAGGTAATGTTAAATTCTGTTTCTTTGTTCTTCAAAGCTAAAACGCCTGGTGATGAAATTGCGCAGCAAGGGAACAGTATACAAGAAGAAACGTCAGGAAATTGCTGAGCTGAAAGTGGAGTATGGAGTCCTGCAGCGGACAGAGGAGATTCTCAAGCAGAGGCATGACACTGTCCAACAGAAACTGGTAAGACTAAACAAATATTTACAGCAAAACAAACAAAGGAATGGGATCTACTTGTTGCCCTTTATATGAAGTCTTTATATCATTATGTCTAGATATCCTTTAGAGTGCTACAAGCCACAAGCAAAAAGTCCATTGAATTCATAATAACTATAGGGCGAGTGCTCACACATTATTATCTTGCATTTTTTTTATTAACACAGGGTTGTATAACGAGATTGACTTGTAGTTCCCTTTATACTACAAAAACAAACATTATAAACAAATAATATGTACAGCCGATGGGTGGATAAATGATAAGTCATAGAAATAAAACAATTTACACGGTGGAGTGCTGAGGATGAATTTAGGAGTTCATTCAGTGAGCAGCTCCAAGTTGCACAAGAGCACTGGTAGTGTCATTAAAGCAGCATGAGTTATCATTATTACTTTTAAATCTTCCTTATTCCACGTGGACTACGGAAATCCTCCTAATTGTCCTCTCTGACCCGTAGCAGTCATACTGTATCCCACCCACCCCTCTCCCCACACTCGTGCTGCCATTCGAAATGTCCTGTTCTCCCTTGATCTCCCCATTCACGCAGTTCGTGTTAACAGTGAAGTGGTAGAACCTTCCTGGAAATGGCTTCACGCCTCTGTACGGTCCCAGCACCTGACTTGTTGATAGACTGTCTGACGCAGGCTGAGCTGCTATTTCTGATGGCTGCATCTCACACTAGGATTTGTTAATACAATGAAAGTTTTCATTCTGATCACATGTCTAGCAAGGCGACGTGTCTGCTCCTTTCTTTATGTGTGAGCCTGATTTTTTTTTTTTTTTTTTTTTTTTTTTTCAGCTGGATAATTATTCATACATTGAGAGTCAAATGACTGTTGTGATGAGTGGGTAGCACTGTTACTGAAATGTGCTGTTGTAGTGTTGCCTGTATTGGAAGACATTTAAACCTTTTTGTGTTCAGTTCAGAAAGAGTTTTAATATCACAGCTTCAGCAGATAACTTAGCTTCATGTGGAAGCAGCATTTTGTGGTATGCTTAAAACACCGTTCAATAAGAATGCACTTTAATTGTAAAAACACTGAATTGATGGTTCATATTGATGGTGACCATTTGATTCCATTGCTGATATATATTTTTTTGTGCGTGTGCTGTTGAGTAATCCACTGTCTCTGTTGTATTTTTCAAGCAAACTGTGGAAGCTGAGAAGGGTATCTCTGGCTACAGTAACACTCAGGAGGAACTGGAGAGGGTGTCGGCCATCAAGAGTGAGCTGGATGAGAAGAAGGGCCGCACGCTGGATGACATGTCTGAAATGGTAACTATACCAAAGGGGCCTTGGGTAAAATCCACCCTAAACTCGTTTTTTTTCATTTTGCTGTAGGTAACACAGCAACACCAGATCTCTTTACAGATTCTGTCTTTCTGAGGAAAGCTTAGACATATGCTGACATTGATTGGGCAGTCAAAGACTAGTGAAATGGAAAATGTGTATTTTATTAGACATTATTAATTGTATAGTAAAACCCCCACTGACTATAGAATTTAAAGCCTCCACACAGCCATGGCACCTACGCAGGTGTTTTCACTTAGTTTGGCTAATAGACCTTCCCTCAGAACTGTATGGGCCTGTACAGACTGTGTTTGGGTGGTATCTTCCTAACTCTGTTAGGGCAGGACAACTTATACCATTATCATTCCTATAGGCCTTTTTCAATGCAAGCATTTGACATGCACAGTAGGAAAAACACAGGTGGAACTAATAAACTGAATGATGCCTGAATTCCATATAGCTGCTTTGGTTTCAGAGTTGAGGTGTTGTGTCACACTGTCATATTTCACACTTTCAAACCTAAGATACAAGACAGAACAGGTACTAAAGTGAGCTAAACAGAACATGCAAATGAAAAGGAGCAGAACCAACATTAATGCCATTAGTAACACCTGGGGGACGTTCAATCTCAGAACATTTTGCACTGGTTTGCTATGCTGTGCAACAGGCTTTGAGGTATGTTTTCTCTTGTTTGGTGTGTAAGAGGTGTCACCCAATCAGCAGTGACATGTTGATAAACACTGCTGTATTAAAAAGGTAGTGAAGTGCAGTGTGCTGGTGTACCTTAATAGGGTGTTCAAGGCACCACCGTTTCCGCACCACGTTTTGTCTGGGCGACCCTGTACTTTTCCTACTATAAAAAATTCAAAATGTCTGCTGTGAGAAGGGCCCATGGTGTTTGGTGACCTCATGTAATTTCCCAACATACAGTGGGGGGAAAAAAGTATTTGACCCCTTGCTGATTTTGCAGGTTTGCCCACTTACAAAGAATGCAACAATCTACAATTTTAATCATATGTACATTCTAACAGTGAAAGACAGAATCCCAAAGAAAATTCCAGAAAATCACATCATATGAATTTATAAAAATTGATAACCATCTGATGAGGAAAAACAAGTATATGACCCCCTACCAAACAGCAAGTATTCTGGCTCCTACAAGCCAGTTAGTCTTTCTTTAAGACACAGCCCCAATCCCAACCAATTATCTACATCAAATACACCTGCCTCACCTCGTTACCTGTATAAAAGACACCTGTCAACACCCAAACAACCAGCATCCAACATCAGCACCATGGGCAAGACCAAAGAGCTTTCTACGGACATCAGGGACAAGATTGTTGATCTGCACAAGGCTGGGATGGGCTACAAGAGAATCGGAAAGCAACTTGGAGAGAAAAGATCAACTGTCGGTGCAGTTATCAGGAAATGGAAGAAGCACCACACCACCGCCAACCTCCCTCGGTCTGGGCCTCCACACAAGATCTCGCCTCGTGGGGTGTCCCTGATCATGCGAACGGTGAGGAATCATCCCAAAACCACAAGGGGGGAACTGATGAATCAACTGAAGGCAGCTGGGACCACAGTTACAAAAGAAACGGTTGGTAACACACTACGCCGTCATGGATTGAAATCCTGCATCGCACGCAAGGTCCCCCTGCTCAAGAAGAAACATGTACAGGCCCGCATGAAGTTTGCCATTCACCACCTGGACGACTCAGAAGAGGCCTGGAAGAAGGTGATGTGGTCAGATGAGACCAAAAAAGAACTTTTTGGCCTCAACTCTACTCGTCGTGTTTGGAGGGCAAAGAACACAGAGTACAACCCAAAGAACACCATCCCCACCGTCAAGCATGGTGGTGGCAACATCATGCTTTGGGGGTGCTTTTCAGCCAAGGGGACGGGACAACTCCATCGTATTGAGGGGAGGATGGACGGGGCCATGTATCGTGGAATTCTGGACCAACATCTCCTTCCCTCAGTGAGAGAGCTGAAGATGGGTCGAGGATGGGTGTTTCAGCACGACAACGACCCTAAGCACACCGCCAAAGCAACAAAAGAGTGGCTGAAGAAGAAGCACATCAAGGTTCTGGAGTGGCCTAGCCAGTCTCCAGACCTGAATCCAATTGAAAATCTTTGGAGGGAGCTTAAAATTCGAGTTGCCAGGCGACAACCTCGGAACCTGAATGATTTGGAGGCTGTCTGCAGGGAGGAGTGGGCCAACATCCCTGCCGAAATGTGCACAAACCTTGTCACCAACTATAAAAACCGTTTGACATCTGTCCTGGCCAATAATGGCTTTTCTACAAAATATTAACATGCTGTTTGTCCAGGGGGTCAAATACTTGTTTTTCCTCATCAGATGGTTATCAATTTTTATAAATTCATATGATGTGATTTTCTGGAATTTTCTTTGGGATTCTGTCTTTCACTGTTAGAATGTACATATGATTAAAATTGTAGATCGTTGCATTCTTCAAGTGGGCAAACCTGCAAAATCAGCAAGGGGTCAAATACTTATTTCCCCCACTGTAACTCCCCCAACTTAAGTTTTAGCAGAAGTCTAAAAAGTGAAATCCTGTGTGGGTGTGCGTTGGGCATTTTAATCAAACTAACTGATTTGTAGTTTTTCAATATTAACATTGATCTCTGTTGTCAGTAATAGTACAAGGTCAATTCTTAAGATTATAGAAATAGCTGCCACTCATAGGGCCATGCTCCAAGCTGTAGTTTAAAGTACACCTTTACACTGGCACAGATACTGATGTGAATGTTACTGAATACTGATAAATAACCCATATTGTGGCTATAGACACTTTACATATTTTTTTCTACTGGGAACCATTCATCATGTTTGATAATGCTGCCTGCTTTCATTATCACAGTAAATCATTAGTCACAGTCACATTACCTGCTGTTTTCTCTGCAGCCTTTAAAGTATACAAAGTTAAACATTTCAGCCTGAAATGCTACACTCCTCAAAAAAATGAAGGGTATAACATCACAGTATAACATCAAATCAGTTAAACTTCAGAGATATCAGTCGGTCCAGTTAGGAGGCATAAGTGATTGTGAATCAGTGTCACATGATTTGGTGCAAATGAAAGTGACAACAGGTGCACCGGAGAGGCAAAAGTAAGACTACCCCCATAAAGGGAATGGTTTTGCAGGTGGTGTCCACAGACAGTTGCTCTCTCCTTGTCCTTCCTGATTGATTGATTGATTACTCTCTATTTTGCATTTTGCTAGTGTCCCTTGTCACTACTGGTAGCATGAGGCGGTACCTGTAGGTTGCGCAGGTAGTCCAGCTTCTCCAGCATGGATGGATTGCAAGAAGTTTCACTATGTCTCCCAGCACATTCTCAAGAGCATGGAGGAGATACAAGGAGACCAGAGCGGTAAAAGGGTATCAACCCAGCAGCAGTACTGGTAGCTGTTCCTTTGTCCCGGGAGGAACAGGTGCAACACTGCCAGAGCCCTACAGAATGACCTCCAGCGGGCTGCTGCTATGCATGTTTCCGACCAAACTATCCGAAACTGACTCCATGAGTGTGACATGAGGGCCTGACGTCCTCTAGTGGGATCTGTGCTCACAGCCCAGCACTGTGCAGCTGGATTGGCATTCACCAGAGAACAAGAGAATTTGCAGGACTGCCATTGGCGCCCCGATCTCTTAACAGATTAGAGCAAGTTCACACTGAGCACATGTGACAGATGTGAAGGAGTCTGGAGACACCGTGGTGAACGTTATGCTGCCTGCATCCTCATCTAGCATGACCGGTTTTGCGGTGGGTCAGTGATTGTCTGGCGAGGCATATCCTTGGAGGGCCCTCAGACACGTGCTAGCCAACACTATCCTGACTGCTGTTAGGTACCAGGATGAAATCCTCAGACCTTACACTGGTGCAGTGGGCCCTGGGTTCCTTCTGGTGCAAGACAATGTCCAGCCTCATGTGGCCAGAGTGTGTAGGTAGTTCCTGGATGGCGAAGTCATTGCTGCCATTGACTGTCCCTCATGTTCCCCAGACCTAAATCCAATTGAGAACCTCTGTGACGTTGTCTGTCGGTGCATCCAACGCCGCCAAGTAGCACCACAGACTGTCCAGGAGCACTACCGATGCCCTGATCAGGTCTGGAAGGAGATCCCCCAGCACACCATCCCCCGTCTCATAAGCAGCATGCCCAAATGTTATCGGGAGTGCATACAGGCATGTGGGGTCCATACACACTACTGACTCACATTATGAGTCACCATGATGAAAGTTACGCAAGTTAAATCAGTCTGTGATTTAATTCTTTTTCCCTTTGATTTTCAGTGTGACTTTGAATCCAGCCCTCTGTTGGTTGGTAATTTTGGTTTCCATTGAACGTTGTTTTTTTTTGTTCTCAACAAATTTTATACAATGTACACAAAAGATCTGGAACTTTGAACTATTTCCTTCATTGAGATATAATGTCTGATTTAAGTGATCCCTTAATTATTTTGAGCAGTGTATTTCCTCTCAATTTACATTGTGATTATTGTAAGGTGTATGTTTTTTTCCCCCAGTATTAATTTAGTGTGTGTTATTGGCTTGGATTTACAGGTGAAGAAATTAAACTCTATGATAGTGGAGAAGAAGTCTGCTCTAGCACCTATTATAAAAGAACTGAGGTCACTGAGACAGCAGTGTCAGGTGAGCATCGCCCGCATTATAACACCTACTTCAAAGGCTTCTCACACCATATCAGTTAGTGTTTGTTAAAAGGAAATTGGCCACCTGACCACATTTAAATAACCTTTAAGGACCTTCAACAGCCATAATAAATCATTGCTGCCCCCCTTGCACACAAGTCAGGAATAAAGGAAGAAGAAGTTGATAAAGATTTTTGAGTTGTTCTCATGGGGGTCAACAGAGTTTGAGTCGCTTATCAGCTACAAAAGGGATAAAATTCATATTTTTAAATTCCATAATATACAGTGGGTACGGAAAGTATTCAGACCCCTTTAAATTTTTCACTCTTTGTTTCATTGCAGCCATTTTCCAAAAATCAAAAAAGTTCATTTTATTTCTCAGTAATGTACACTCAGCACCCCATCTTGACAGAAAAAAACAGAAATGTAGAAATTTTTGCAAATTTATTAAAAAAGAAAAACTGAAATATCACATGGTCATAAGTATTCAGACCCTTTGCCGTGACACTCATATTTAACTCAGGTGCTGTCTATTTCTTCTGATCATCCTTAAGATGGTTCTACACCTTCATTTGAGTCCAGCTATGTTTGATTATACTGATTGGACTTGATTAGGAAAGCCACACACCTGTCTATATAAGACCTTACAGCTCACAGTGCATGTCAGAGCAAATGAGAATCATGAGGTCAAAGGAACTGCCTGAAGAGCTCAGAGACAGAATTGTGGCAAGGCACAGATCTGGCCAAGGTTACAAAAAAATTTCTGCTGCACTTAAGGTTCCTAAGAGCACAGTGGCCTCCATAATCCTCAAATGGAAGACGTTTGGGACGACCAGAACCCTTCCTAGAGCTGGCCGTCCGGCCAAACTGAGCTATCGGGGGAGAAGAGCCTTGGTGAGAGAGGTAAAGAAGAACCCAAAGGTCACTGTGGCTGAGCTCCAGAGATGCAGTCGGGAGATGGGAGAAAGTTGTAGTAAGTCAACCATCACTGCAGCAATCCACCAGTCGGGGCTTTATGGCAGAGCGGCCCGACGGAAGCCTCTCCTCAGTGCAAGACACATGAAAGCCCGCATGGAGTTTGCTAAAAAACACCTGAAGGACTCCAAGATGGTGATAAATAAGATCCTCTGGTCTGATGAGACCAAGATAGAACGTTTTGGCCTTAATTCTAAGCGGTATGTGTGGAGAAAACCAGGCACTGCTCATCACCTGTCCAATACAGTCTCAACAGTGAAGCATGGTGGTGGCAGCATCATGCTGTGGGGGTGTTTTTCAGCTGCAGGGACAGGACGACTGGTTGCAATCGAGGGAAAGATGAATGCGGCCAAGTACAGGGATATCCTGGACGAAAACCTTTTCCAGAGTGCTCTGGACCTCAGACTGGGCCGAAGGTTTACCTTCCAACAAGACAATGACCCTAAGCACACCACTAAAATAACGAAGGAGTGGCTTCACAACAACTCCGTGGCTGTTCTTGAATGGCCCAGCCAGAGCCCTGACTTAAACCCAATTGAGCATCTCTGGAGAGACCTGAAAATGGCTGTCCACCAACGTTTACCATCCAACCTGACAGAACTGGAGAGGATCTGCAAGGAGGAATGGCAGAGGATACCCAAATCCAGATGTGAAAAACTTGTTGCATCTTTCCCAAAACGACTCATGGCTGTATTAGATCAAAAGGGTGCTTCTACTAAATACTGAGCAAAGGGTCTGAATACTTATGACCATGTGATATTTCAGTTTTTCTTTTTTAATAAATTTGCAAAAATTTCTACATTTCTGTTTTTTTCTGTCAAGATGGGGTGCTGAGTGTACATTACTGAGAAATAAAATGAACTTTTTTGATTTTTGGAAAATGGCTGCAATGAAACAGAGTGAAAAATTTAAAGGGGTCTGAATACTTTCCGTACCCACTGTATAGTATATACGATGGTGTAGGATTTTATACCAGTGCAAAAAAACACAGTTCTCACAGCTCCCAAACGACTCCCAAATTCTGCGCAAAAAACATAATAAACTATGAATCTGTCCTAAATTTAAAAACCAGTGGTGGTATCTTTACTGTGTGCCTGCAAGCCACTAAGAGTTAACTTGTATTGTGCTTGTGGGTTATCATAGACACGGCCCCTTGAGAATAATTTACATAGTCCATAAATAAAATGCACGATGGGAAAGCCCACATATCGCTGAGCTAAAGCAGAGGATTAAATTTTCCTACACGTGTTCCCAGAATCGCTCTTCCATCCTACTGGGCAATGTCAGCTAATGAAGAGCTGCAACAGGAAGACATAAATAGACTTTGTAGGAGCGCGATATAAATTAAACTGCTCAAATGCTAGCTGTGATGTTATGTTGATGTGAAACAGTGCTGAGAGTATGACAAGGGTGTTGAAAATTGTGTATTCTATCTATTTATTTCTATTCCCATACAGTATGTTAAATCATTTGTCTCTCCATTCCTGTGTATGCCTGTTCGGATTCCTATGTTAACAGGAACTAAGCCAGGAATATGAGGATAAGAAGGCGCAGTATGAAAGTTGTACTGCTGGTTTGGAGAGCAACAGGTCTAAATTGGAGCAGGTATAGTTATTACTAGAGAGAATATAGTCAACAGTTTAAATGTATGTATGTATTTTTATCCAGTGTATTCGTCTTTGATCTTGTTTTTCATTCACAGGAGGTGAAAGCACTGAGAGAGGAGACGGCGCAGGAGGAAAACCGATATCATTACATCAACTCCATGTCAGAGGTAAGACGGTTGCTTAAAACAGAAAAAAAACATTATAGCCATTAGCCACAGTGAGGGTATCAAGCATTGTTATCACTGTTTTACTGTTTTTCAATGACACTCTGAACAGTGACTTGCTACCCACAGGGGCGCTGCAGGAGTGGCTAAATGTTGCAGCATTTTGCATGTGACCTGGCCTCAAACGCCCACTGTGACAGTAAACTCGATCTCTCCCTCTCTGTCCTCAACAGATCATTGAGATGCAAATACAGCGGGCGGCAGAGGAGATGAAGGCTTACGTGTCCTCTGATCCGCAAGAGAGGAAGAAGGCCATCAGGTGAGCATGCTGAGCCAGACCAGCAAGCTGCTCACAAAATGAATACCCCTTTTTACCTCTGGAAGCTTTTATTACAGTCAGTTTAGCTGCTGTCACTTTATTCTTTCGTGCAGCAGCAGTTGTCAAGAGACTCATGACCACACCTTGTTCTATCAAGATATGCTGATACACCACACCTTTATTTAAACACCGTGATTGATTCACAACATGGTTTGTATTTTAATTATACTCTTCTGCTTTTGTAGGGAAGTGTACATGAAGAACATTTCAGAACAGGAGTTACTTGGCAAGGTGAGAACTGACCTAGCAGATGCCATGTGTCAATACTTCCTGTAGTCTCTCAAGAACACGGTCTGATGACAGGCAGGGTGGATAAGGAAACTTACAGAACTCCAGTAATGTAGATTGTAGTAAATATTTTTTTGCGAACGTGTTTGTAATTTTGGCCTTTTTTAATAAAGTAACCTGACTTATTGAACAGACAAGTGCCATTTAAAAATGTTTTCTTGCTAATCACTCTTTTAATTTGTGGACTCCAGAAGTTACGCGAGAAGCAGAAGATGGTGAGGGAGAGCCACAGCGCCAACATGGAGCAGATGAAGATGTGGCGTGACCTGGAGCAGCTGATGGAGTGCAAGAAGCAGTGCTTCATAAGAGCTCAGAGCCAGGCATCTATTGGTCAGGTCATCCAGGAGGGAGGAGAGGATAGGCTGGTGCTGTGACACGTCTAGGCAGGGTCCACTGCACATCACCTACAATACATTCACTACACAGAGTTTAACTTAATATTCTATGCCTTCCTCTAACATGTCTACATCTTTTACAATATAATTGTTGTACGAAACTGTTACTGTGCACTATTGTAGATTTAAATAACATGTACAAAGTTTGTTTGGTCATGGAGGTTCATCTTGTCTGTTACACACCATCATCGAGTTTCACTTGATGGTTAATCTTGTGTAAGAACCAGACCAGTAGCTTCTTGGTGATGACATGGTTTGAGATCCTTTGAGCATCCACAGTTTAAAGATCACATGTATCAAAAGGTGGTACATGTTTTCACTTTCACCGGCCCCTGGAGACTCAGTTTCGCCACATCTTTAAGACTACACTTGCAATCCAAGTGTCCAAAGATAACAGCATACAAAGTGGTGCACTTGGGATGTGGCCGCGGTCAACTATTTTTGGCAACAACTACCCTGACCTTGGACAGGGTGTCTTGCCAGTTTTGGAGTTCACTGGGACCTCCATTGCTTTGGACAGTGCAGATGAAACAGTCATATTATTCAGCTTGTTTCTATTTCATATCACAACATACACAATTTTTCTATAATGGAGCCGTAGTTCCAGATAACCTTTGACATTTAAGGCATACATAGTTAGATATTTTGGTTGTCTATGTATTTCTATTAAATGTATTATATATTCATTTCGACTCATGTTTCATTGATAATATTCATCTAAAATGCAACTTACTGGCAGATAGTTGACCACACGTAAATTCTTAATTATGAGGATGTATTCAATTATTTCAGTTTAAACAGAATGAGAGAATACCTGTTGTACAACTAATGCTAGTATACAGAGAGCCCAGTTTATTTACATCAAATTATGTGACTGATTTGATGTTGATTTAGAGCATTCTGTTTGCTTTCTTTAACTGTAGTATGAAATCTTATGTTGTCTTTATGACCTGTTTTATATATAACAAGACCAATGCTGTTTTTAGTTCCTGTGCTGAAGTTTTATTACTTTTAAAGCAAGTTATGTGGCTCACAGGACTTTCCACATAGACTACGGTTTGAGTGCCTTATGTTGTTCCCAGCAAATGTCTTCATGGATGTTTCTGGATCCCGCCCTCACAGAAACTTAATCTGCTGTTGACAGCCGATGTTAGTGGCTCTTGTGCCAAACGGATCAAGTGTGCATTGTAAAAGTCAGCTTGATGTCCAACTGGCTGGTGTCATGTTGTTATTGTTACAGCACCTTGTGCTTCTTGGGGCCTTATTAAGATGTGTTAACAGATGATGTACCAGTCCTCTAAAACATCTGACAATGATACCCCCCAAATTACACAAGGGGGCCAGGGGGTTGACCTAGTGCCCTCACACCTCTTTAGGAAATGATCTGCCTTTACAGTTGTTAAGCCTATGTAGTTGATTATTCTGGTATTGTCAGTCTTATGTTCTCTTGAGCAAGGGCGTAGGACTGGGTGGGCATAGGGGGCTCAGCATGCCACAGCCCCTAGTGTAAATGAAGAAGTAATACACTAAGACACGAGGCCTTTGTCATGAGATGCCTGTATGTAGTCTGAGGGAATTGTGTAAAGGCTTGTGCAGACTACACGACTTTCAGCATCGGCTGATGGCCGTGCTGTTCAGACAACACAACTTGCCGTCTTGTGACAGGAGTCTTGAAGTCGTTGTGGTGTTCACACTACGTGACTGATCGGTGACAGGGGGTCAAACACTACACGAGATGACAAGGACTCTGTCACGCGACGCTGGTCTCCAAGAAAACACACGTGAAATGTGAATCGGGAAAAGTGGAAAACCCACACAGGAAACGGCTGATGTTTGTTATATAAAGATACCAATTATATAGACAAACAATATGGGTGAAAGAATGGATTAGCACATGCAGGTAGCAGGGATTGTCTGAGCTACAGAGCGAGCTGGAGGGTAAAGAGTAAAAAGTGTTTTGCAGTGAAAAAGTAGCTGCCTGCTCTGCCAGCTGCCTGCTTTCATTGGCTGGATGTGGAATCTACCGACTCCTCCAGATATTTGGCATGCTAGATATCTGACAGACTTGGCGATGTGTCAGAAATGTGTCGTTGAGTAGTTCACACATAACGACTGGTGACCGCCGATCGATCACTGATTTACCCCTGATCACAGCCTGACGGTTGCCGAGCTCACATACCGGCAAATCGGGATAAAAATCGTGTAGTGTGAACTAGGCTTATAGTAGTCTGGGAATATATACAAGCATACACTGCCTGGGTGTGTACACACTGTGTAGCTTTCAACACCAGCATGTCAAATATGTTTCTATATGGTAATAGCAGTGGTGGGCCGGAACTAAGTATGTTTACGCAAGTACTGTTCTTAAGAAAACAGTAGTGTATTTGTACTGTTCTTAACTTTTGTCTTTTCATGCCACTTTCTACTTCTTCTGTGCTACATCTCATGATTTACTTTTTATTTCACTACATTTATCTGACAGCTTTAGTTACTTTAAAAATAAAGATTTTACACACAAAACATGACATTCGCTGATTGATAGAAATTTAGTTATATACTATTTTGATAATTGTCATTTTTCATGTAAAAACATTTCATGGTTCCAGCTTCTAGCTTCACAAATGTAAAGATATGCTACTTTTCCATTTTAATGTAATTTTAATACTGACAAAACAAGCATTGTGAAGGTGTCGCTGTGGGCTCTGAGCAATTGTGACAACATTTCTCACAATTTTACAATTGATTAATGGAGAAAATAATCAGCAAGTTATTCCAAAATGATTAAAGTAATCAATTTTCAGTCTGATACAAACTAGTTCAACCTCAATCAACTACAACATTAAATTCCTGCTTTTACATTAATGCATGAGTAATAATAATCTAATGATATATATGGCTGTTTATATATGATATAATATAACATGGGACATTTTTCATTCTGCATTGAGTAGCCAACTTTTACTTATAATTTTTATTATAATCATTTTCCTGATTATACTTACATACTTTTACTTAAGAAACATTTTCATTGCAGTGCTTTTACTTATAAAAGAGTATTTTTCCAGTGAGGTATCAGAACCACCAGGTAATAGTGACACTAGTTGCTTGTCTTGTAACTTGAACGCTGACCCTAAATGGGACATGTGATAGCCTACTATGGAAGCCCAGAGTGGTTAGATTAAATTACTACAAAAGTACAAAAAAGAAAAGGACTCCAACCGGCGTCCCTACTACGTCATACGACCGTGGCTTTTAATAAAATGATCATAGCATAGGGTAGGGGCGCAGACACCAATAGATACCACTACACATTTTCCATTACAAACATTTACAGTCATAATGTCAGTGTCAGCAGCCATCTGTGCTGAGGCCGACATGGCTGGTAACACAAAAAGCAATAAACCAAAGTAAATTAACCCTGGCGTTGTGGTTTTCACGGGGTATACGAGCATGTATTCCTGCTTGCTGTTTCCTGGTTGCTTCCTGTGTTTTTTTTTTTAATGTCTCCCTGACTTGAACGTAACTGACACCGTTCGTCCAATGATATTTGTCCACATGCGGCGCAGGGAAGAGGGGAGAGGGGCAGCAGTGAGGCACTTTGATAAAATCAGACTGTCAGCACCGAGTGGAGTCACAGAGAGCTGCGCCACTGTGAGGCAGGACACGCCACGGTAGTACCGTTACTGAAGACTGGACCGGGTGAATGCAGTCCTCAACGTAGGACACTGCCGCAGACGCTTCCCCATCATTTTCGGAGATAAGAGGACGGTCAGAGTAATATTCATCCACGCAGGGAAGAGGAATTTGGCTCACCACAACATTTCCGTAATTTGCGGGAAGAAAAATCCTAACAGGGGCCAGGGGGACACGTTCAGACCGCGTTCAATAGCTTTCGATAGCTATCCGAGTGTGAATGCACAGCTCTCAGTTGGAAAACTCCTTATTTCTTTGAAAGTGTTGACAGTTTTACCATACGGCCGTTATTTTGTGTAAAGCTGTGTGGGAAGCCGCCTGTCCGCCATGGAGAACGCACACACGAAGAGTGTGGAAGAAGTTTACAGTTATTTCTGCGTCAATGAAAGCACAGGACTTTCCCTGGACCAGGTGAAACGTCAGAGGGAGAAATGGGGCCTAAACGGTACGACACTTTACACTGTAGACCACCACCAATGCGGCTGTTGTGAATGAGACGCGGCTCAAAATGCCATGTCACTGTTAACACGGGCAGCGTGAGCACAGTATTCAGTATGTGGGGTAAAAGTCAACCACACCGAGCCGGGCCGGCCAGGCCAGGCCAGTGTTACCCGGCTCCGTAAAGTCATTCAGCTGACGTCATCACTGGTGACCTCGAGGGTTTCTTACACATTAACAAATTAATCATTTGGCTACTCAGGACACTGCTACATTGTTGAACAGTGGCACATTGTTAGGTATGGCGACATTGTTGTATCATGGTTAACGCAGTTGACTGGGATAGCGTTGTTAAACATAACCCCATGGTGACATTGTTGACAGTAGTCGTAAAATATGGAGACCGTGTTAAGCACCGTGTCATTGTTGAGCACTAGTCACCTTGTTGGATGTTCCTGAAAGCAGAACTGCAACACACCAGCCCATCTGCCTGGAGATCCGGCAGGCATTTGACACTGAACAGTGGCCACAGGATCGCTGGAGTAACGTTATCGGTCAAAGTTAATCTCTCTTGTCCCAGGCCTAAACAGCTGTTTATATTAATATCACCTGGGAGGTCATGGCGGGTATACTCCCCTCCCCTTATCCACTCTGAACTCTAAATTGATTGGAGTTTTTCTATTTTCTATTTTTTTTTTTTCTTATTGTGTAACACAGATGAAGGGAGAGAAGTTAAATGCCATAGTCAGAAGTGTAAACCTGATGCAACAAAACTATTGCTATATGATTGTTTCTTGTTTAATGGTCAAGCAGATCAACACCCTCACTACACCATTGTAATTTTTCAATACACAACATCCCCTTTTGTACAGTATGTCTGACTAAGTCATCAAAATGTGAAGTGAAACCGGGAAAATGCTGGTGGTTTTGACACCAACTTGTGCTTGTCTGAGATTTGGCCCTCTCAAGGAAGCACTCATTTGCTCTGAACATGCAGATGTCCTCTTGCTGCGGGAGTCAGTTCCCCATCAAGAAACAGTAACTGAGACTCCATCTGGCTAAATGTTTTTAATGTATTTATACACCACTTACCTTCCTTGTCTTTTCTTTTTTGTCCATCTCCTGTGAACCCCCCGGATTGACTGCCACATCTCTAAACACACACAGAGTTACCAGCAGAGGAAGGTAATCACTACTGTCACTGATGTTGTTACTGTCATTTAATGATAACACGTTTCTGTGATGGATTGGTTTTTTGTTTGTTTTTCACCAACTCTCCTTTCTGCAGGGAAATCTTTGTGGGAGCTTGTCCTTGAACAATTTGAAGATTTACTTGTTCGAATTCTTCTGCTGGCAGCATGTATATCTTTTGTAAGTATATCTCTGCATTTTCTTTGCACCATCTCCTGTTCTTGTGATGTTGTAAGTCCAAGTCAGCTCTTTTTTTAAATCCCCACTGTCACCCCTGTTACTCAATAACCTGTCCAGTAAATGAGAAAGATAATCTAAAAAGCTAAGGGAAGTCAGACAAGTCAGCGCATCCTACACACAGCTT